CCCCAAAACCCCAAAACCCCAAAACCCCAAAACCCCTTGTCTGGAGCCAAATTTGATAAAAATATAAAAATTCAGAGACAAATGGCTAACCCAGACCCTAAACATCCTAATCTGTTTAAAAAGAGGCAGATAAAGCTAATCTTGAGTAATTTATATCACCTATTTCTCCTTAGACAACCAGATGAAGAAAGGAAAGGCGATTAAGGTTAGGAAAAAGTACAGGAATGACCAGAACCTTACCTATCTGTAAGTTTAGTGGCAGAAGTAGACATACGTTCATACTAAATTCTAATGGTAGTTTGTAAGAGACAGCTCATCATTGCATATTCTACCTATTCGCCTTGATATATTCATTAAGGCATTGAACTCTTTTTGAAAATTTTAATAATTCTTAGAATTGTTAAATTATTTGACAAACACTTTGGGCTATAACATTAAAGAGGTAGATGTTTTAGTAAAATTTGGTCTAAGCTATTCCATTAGCCTTTTAATTTTGGATTTTGGTAACTAAAATTCTATAAAACTCTCCAGTGGAGAGCAAGACAATAACTTCTTTTCCCCGAACAAGGATAATTCATATATTGAGGGATAAATTTGTTCATAACCTGTAGAAAAAGCAACGACAGCTTTGTGTCTAATAGGTATTCAATTAATCCTAAATATTAAAGGGCACCTAGACTCCAGTCAAACCAGACCTTTGATACTGGAATACAGTCTGTCTCTCCAATTGTCACCACTTGGAGAAGAAGAAAGCTCAGATCAAACTATAACAACTCTGAAATCTGGAAAGGCCTTCAAGACAAAATTCAAAAAAAGTTTGGTTAAAGAATCAATTTATAGGAAAAGCAAGCTTAAGAAGAGAAGTCCACCTATTTTAGACCTTCATCAAACAGTATGGGGGCTCAATTTTCTTAACTCAGACCAGTACAATAAAAAGGATGAGAAGGAAGAAATAGAAGAAAAATACCTTTCCCTTGATTCACGATATATGTTTGAACCGTAAGTGATCTACTAAAAAATAGAGCAATCACTAGTGTTCCATCAGAAAAATAAGCTAAACGAGGCTTCACCAAACATGCCTGCGATCAAAGATCGTGAGGATCTTAACAAGACTGCTGATGGTAATCCCTAAGTTTATACTAAATTTTGCTAACTTGTAATTCAGCCACTAAAAGAGGAGATAAGAATTTACTAATTAAAGCTCGTATATAAACAAACTTGATGCTGATCCTCACGATGAATCGATGAGGTAGTCTAAAAATTTGACTTTTATAGGAAAACAAAATTTAAATATATAGAAAAGAGCAAGATCAATATGGACACTATTAACCAGAGAATTGACGATCTGATCTCAGACCCAGCAAGATGTAAGCCACTCCCATAACCTACAGGAAGAGATTTCATGAGAGAGTGGAGGAAATTGCGTCAGAAGAAGAACACATTCAAGAACAACTTCTTAAACCCCCTAAAGAAGAGATAACAACAAATTTTATTTAAATAAATTTCATATTTTTTCTATAAAATATTTGCTTTTAGGGGTTTTGGGGTTTTGGGGTTTTGGGGTTTTGGGGTTTTGGGG